TTTCACAGCCTGTACTTTATAGGAGCAAAAAGCCTTGTCTCTCTCCCTCAGAACAGCTGGTTGTTTTGAACCACTGGCCTCATGGTTAGCAGCCCAATGCTTAACTCACTATGACATGGGGATGGGTTTCATGTTCCTAGATAGCCAAAGTTTTTCTTGACCTCCTATAGCTTTTATATAATTTTCTCCATAAAGTCTTGCATTCCTTTTGTAATATTTATCCTAAGATGCTTTGTAAGCTTGGATCATGGTCTACATTACACCCATGATGATTTCATATGTGTCTTTGATGACTTTGAAAGAATATTTTTCTCACAGAACTTCTGATTCTTTTAGTGGCACCAGATTACCCATACCAGAAATACAGCTTACTATTTTGAGTAGATTTTTTAAAATTACATCTTCTAGTTAATTTTTGTTATATAAAAACATCATTGAGGATTTGTATGAATAATTTACCTTGCAGTCATTGGGTTTCTTGAACACTATTACTAGCTCCTATAGCTTTTTTTTTTTTTTTTTGCTGGTTTGTTTTGAGGTTTTCTTGGATGCATTATGTGTAGAATAAAATATTCTTTAAATAATAGCCAGTTGTCTTTTATGCTCTGATTTTTACTTCATTTCTTTTTCTAGGAGTCCTGGTGTGGCATTGTGGGTTAATGTGCTGGACTGCAATGTCAGTTTGAACCACAAATTCCACTGTTCAAGCTCACCAGTTGCTCCTCAGAAACCCTATACAGGATTGCTATGGGTCGGAACTGACTTGATGGCACTTAACAACACCAACAACAATAATCTAAGACAATTCTCCTTTGTTCTATAGGGTCCTTATGAGTTGGCATACTGTAAGTGGTACACAGTAGCAATAGTGCTTTTTCCTATATTATCATGTTGACTACTTTTATTGTTGTTAGCTGTCTTCTAATCAGTTCCAACTCATAATGATTGTAGTTAGCTAGCAGTCCAGTGCTTATCCTACAGCTTTTCACCACTGGGAATTCATATCTTCTGTTTACTATAAAGAAAATATTTTAATGTTTCTTCATTAAGTATGTAAATTTTCTCATAAATGTCTCTCTCTCTTTTTTTTTTTTTATAATTAAAGGAATATTCATTTGTTCTTAACTTATCTCAGGAAAATAAGAGATGTTATATAAAATGGCAGTTATATAACTTTCTGTTGTTGTTAAGTGCCGTTGAGTCGGTTCCAACTCATAGCTACCCTTTAAAGGGTTTCCAGGGAAAAGCTGGTAAGATTGAACCACTGACCTTGTTGTTCAAATTGACCTTGCAGTCCAGTGCTTTATCCCACAGCAGCACACCAGGGCTCCATATAACTGTCTTGGTTGTTGTTGTTGTTGAGTGCCATCAAGTCAGTTCCTACTCATAGTCACGGAGGAGCAACTGGTGATCTTGAACCATCAACCCTGTGGTTCAAAACGACCTTGCAGTCAAGTGTTTTATTCTACAGTGCCACACCAGGACTCCTATAATTGTCTGTTGTTGTTGTTAAGTGTCATTGAGTCAGTACCAACCCATAGCAAACCTGTATAGGGTTTCCAAGGAGCAGCTGGTGAGCTTGAACTGCTGACCTTGCAGTTCAAATGACTTTGCAGTCTGATGCATTAATACACAGCGCCACACCAGGACTCATATAATTGTCTAGAATAGTGAAAAACTGTAAACAACATAAAATTCCAGAAGTAGTAAATTTTTAAAAAATTAACTTTGGTTGTTCCATGTTCTGGCACTTGTACTAAGCAGTCATTAAAAATGCTCTTGTGCATTTGACTTATTGACAAAAGAAAGTGTTGTAAAATGTTGTCAAGTGAGAAAATAAAGAAAACAACGTATCATACAAATAAATATAGTTATACATAGAAAAAATTTTTTGAAAGTATGCAGCAAAATGGCCATCTGGGGGAAATATGTTGTTGTTAAGTACATTCGAGTCAGTTCTGACCCATAGCGACCCTGTATAGGGTTTCCAAGGAGTGGCTGGTGAACTTGAACCGACAGCCTTGTGGTTCAAACCAACTGTTCAGTCCAGCACATTAACTCACAGCACCATGGGTAACTTTTATTTCCTTTTTTTGTTTCTCTGTATTTTATGATTTCCTAAAATACAAAGAAACAAAATTATTTCACTAGTTGCTCCTCAGAAGTCCTATACAAAGTCAATATGAGTTGGTAGCAACTAGATAGCATTTAATAATAACAACTTAATAAATATATATTATGTGGACTTTTCAATAAAAATGAATTAATACATAGCTAGATGGGAAATGGAGTTCTGGTGTGGCACTGTAGGTTAATGTGCCAGACTGCAAAGCCATTTGAACTGCAAGGTCGGCGGTTCAAGCTCACCAGCTTCTCCTTGGAAACCCTATACAGGGTCGCTATGGGTCGGAATCAACTCGACAGCACTTCACAACAACAAAAAGATGGGACATACTCCCCCTGTTATAAAATTCATTAGAACAAATATATGAAACCCATAGATATGATTAGCATGTAACAGTAGAGATACGTTTATTTGCTATTTATCATTAATATCAGTCCCTCTTTCCAAATAAATTGAAATCTTACAATTTGTAAACTCTTCCAGATGTCTTATTTATGGCTGTGGACTCTGCTGTTAACTGCTATCGAGTAGGGAGTAGGTTCTGACACATAGTGACTCTGTATAGGGTTTCCAAGGAGCAGCCATTTACAGTCCAGTGCTGATCCTACAGTGCCACCCCAGGACTTGCTATTTACATGGTGTAAACACTCTCACTATGGCCAATATAAACTACCAACATGGTATCACTGAATGCCCTGTGTGCAGAGTTGTGATCCTTTAGGCACCAGCTCCCACAACACCTCTGAGCCCAACTCAAAGGAGTACATTTTAACTAACGTTGCTTTAAAGTCTATCCACTTTCCCCCATTTAAGAATTGTTCATTTTAGTTACAATAAACACTGGCATGTTAAATAAGCAGAGACTCATCAGGAAAGATGAGAAAAGTCTGTTTGCACACTTGGGCTGGATGGTATGAGTCAGCACTAGAGTGGGAGTGTATCCTCAGGCATCTCACCTGGATCCAGGCACCTAGACCTTTTGAGCACCAGGAATACTGTTCACTACCATAATGTTCTCTAGCATTCAATCTCTCTAGATAAGGTGACCATAGGTGGCATATGGGAAAAGAGGAAAAAAACTCTTTTTTGTATCCACTGAGTACAAAGGATCTTGATAACAAAGACAATACAGAGGAATCTAGCCCTTACTGGAGAGCCAAGGAAAGAATGCACAGGTCCAGGTAGGTTGCCCATAGGTCCTGCCCTCTCATACAACCTTGTGTTTTTGTTGTTTTTAAGTGTCATTGAGTTGGTTCCAACCCATAGCAACCCTGTATAGGATTTCTGAGGAGCAGCTGGTGGGTTTGACCTGCCAACCTTGTGGTTCAAACCAAACTCGTGGTCCAGTGCTTATCCCCCAGTGCCACACCAGGACTTCAGTTAAACAATAGACAGGTCTCTTCAACATTTACAGCTATGGAAACTCTTTTCAGGGACCCTGAGTCAGAACTGACTCCATGGCACGTTCCCACCACCACCATAGGCAGAACAATAACACTAGGAAAATCCCCATTTCTTAGAACAACCAACCATTTGAGATCAAGAGGACAGCATTTACCAGAGGGTAGCGTAGTGATTATGAATCGGGCCGCTAACCTCAAGGTTGACAGTTCGAAACTACCAGCTGTTCCATGGGAGAAAGATGAGGCTTTCTGCTCCTGTAAAGATTTGCAGAATTGGAAACCCTGTACAGGGTCACTATGAGTCGGAACTGACACCACGGTACCTAACAACAACAACAAGATTCAGAAGGGTTAAGAAAGGAGGAATGGGAATGGGAAACAGAAGGAGGAAAGAGGGTAAGAGATGTTACATTGTAGGGACCGCAATCAGTGACATGAAACAAAATGTGGGCAATTTACTGAGTGGAAAACTGATCATCTTGTCTGTAAACTTTTACCCAATTCACAATAAAAAGTTAAAAAAAAAGTACTTAGAAACCAGGCTGCCCTAATCATGAAGAGAAATCAGGTCATGAAATAGCTGACATTCCACCAATGTGATCCTATGCGGGGACCAAAGGAAGGAACTAAAGGAGAGGAGGCTTCTCAGAAGTCCCTCTGAATTGGGCCCAAAGTGGGGTCCATGTACAGGCCTTTCCTCTAAATTGGCTATTTTCAATTCATAATGAGCTACTTATGAAGTTTTTATATATTTTCATAGCAATCAGACCAAAGAATTTTATTTCTGTTGAATCTGAAAATTAAAAAGGGAGGAGCTTGCATTTTGTGTACCTCTCAGGGTTCTTTTAATTCATTTTTGTTGAATATTTCAAAAGTATTAACCTAACAAAATGGAATTAAAAAAAAAATTCAGGTCATTTGCTTGTGATCATTTGAAATGCACAAATTAAAGGACATTAGGGCACATTTGTTCAAGAAAGTCATGAAGATCGAGATTTCTTCTAGAATGTGACTGTTGTCCTAATGGTTCCAACACAGCTGCTCCATATCCAGGCATCACTTCAGTTTTTCAGGAAAGGAAATGGAGGAAGATCAAATGTGGTGCCATTTAAGGTATCCCTTCTTGTTGGGAAGATGAGACTTGAGCCAACTGCTTTTCTCTTTCTTACTTTCTCTTCATATTTTTCCTCTCCCTTCTCTCCATTTCAGGATCAGCAAATACAATTTGGGAAGACCTGTGGGAACCACATTCACCTGACAACATGTTTCTGTAGCCATCTTTCTGAGGGAAGAGGAAGTCGGGAAGGAAAAACTTGGTGGGGAGCTCTTCTTAGCTCCCCAAAGAGGACTATGAGACCTTGCTGGAAAGCTGCCTGAGAAACCACTATCTCTTTGAAGACATCAGCTTTCCAGCCACCCTGAGCTCCATCCATCATGGGTCCTTACTACAGAAGCTGCCAGCCCACCTACAGTGGAGGAGGCCTCCAGTAAGGATTTGGAAACGGGGTTTCTGATCAAGGCCCATGAAAATCAGTCCAGACTCTCCTTCTGAGACAGCAGAGCTTTCAGGTACTAGTCTTTATTCTCTCTCACTGATCCCCATAAGAAGGGAACTAGATCCCATTTTCTAGATGGTGAAACAAGGGTGAGGTTAATCTAAGATGTAGTGTTCCCTGAGCCTGTGCACAGAGAGGTGCAGAATAGCCAAAAAGAGATCAAGGTATTATGTAGCTTCATCTGAAATGGCCAGGTATCTTGAGTTACCACCAATACCACCAGCCAGAGAGACAAATTTTACCATATCTCGAATTTTCACCAATCAGAGCTCATGAAACATGTATATTAAGCAATTATTTATCACTTTACAAAACTATTCATTTTATAAAATGCATCAACAATTCATTTGAAAGGCAATTTTTTAAGTGTTCAAATGCAATCCATCTCTCCCAAACTTGATTTACAAATACGATTTTAAGAACACAGCAAAGCACCAGAGTGAAGTCAGCCTGTGCTACAGACACTTTCCTTCCCTGTTCTCTGCTAACCATCACCATCAACACCTTCTTCCCAGACTTATTAAGTCCTTTCTATAGAAAGCAAGTCCTCAGTGGGTTTCCAAGAGGTCAGCCAAAATCCTTCTCTTTCCTCCCCAAATTTTGGGAATTTCTGGCATAAAGACTGTTGGCACAGCTTGTGGAATGGTATACAAAGGTTGAGGGATGGGTCAGCTGCCCACTTACCACACCTCACCCACATTTTTGCATACAAAGCAAAAGAGATCATTGTATCAGGAGTTAGGGGAGTGAAAGGAATGATTAAGAACAAGATCTTTAGAAAAATGAGTTGTTTTTATGTGTCATCGAGTCAGTTTCCTCATAGCAACCCCATGCACAACAGAACAAAACACTGCCTGGTCCTACACCATCCTCACAATTGTTGTTATGCTTGAGCCCATTGCTTCTGCCACTGTGTCAATCCATCTCATTAGGGATCTTCCTCTTTCTTAAACAGAAACCCTAAGAGAAGGTATTTTTTTTTTTAATACAAGTGCTATATCTCAGTAACTATATGAAGTTGTCTGATCTCTGACTTACATGATCTGTAAGAAGGAGCAAGAGAATGAAGTCTATACATGTTAAGAATCTGTATCCCAGATTTTCTGGGACAGCCTTGATTTCATATATATTCTACATCTATGAAGATACAGAAAGGATTCCTGGGTAGCACAAATAGTTAAGCACTCAACTATTAACTGAAAGGGTGTCTTGAAATTCCTCAGAGGTATCTGGAAAACAAGACTGGGGATCTGCTTCCGAAAGACCACAGCCCGGAAAATTCCACGGAGCAGTTCTCCTCGGCACTCCTCGGCACGCATGAGGTCACCATGGGTTGAAATCAACTTATTGGCAACTAGCAGCAGCAACAAGAATGTAGAATACTAAAACTGAGTCCCGTTTTCAGAGATGGGAAAATGTGGCCACGGTAGCTCCAGAAGGACCCGGTGGCTCAAATGGTTAAGTGCTCAGCTACTATACAAAAGGTTGGTGATTCAAATTTACCCAGAGAAGTCTTAGAAGAAAGACCTAACAATCTATTTCCTAAAGACCACAAGCATTGAAGACCCTCTGGGATAGAAAACCCTGCTGTTGTACTCCACAGCAACTCGTGGTTGAAGTTCGAGGAGTTTCTCTGTTCTCCGAGTGACAATTCTGCCTATTCCTCCAGGAGTTGCACAGCAATCCCCAGTTCTATTCTGCCAAGGCCAAAAGGCTGGATCTGGGCCAGGAAATGGTAGGAAGGTGTGCACAGCCCTTGGAGACAAATACCTGGCTGCTTGCAAGCCTGTCCTGGTCAAGGCAGATTGGTATCTTAAAGAGGGAAGTCAAGAAATCCCAAGGGGGAAGATAGGGCTGGCCCATAAAGGACTACTCAGCAGCAAATCCGTTACTCCACCTTGACATGTTATGTCATCTATAGGATGTTTATAAAAGCTGGTCCTCTGAGGATTAGTAGGAATGCCACACCTTGGCTAAGATAATGCTATTGTTGTTGTTAGGTGCCATCAAGTCAGTACCAACTCATAGCAACCCTATGCACAATAGAACAAAACACTGCCTGATCCTGGGCCAACCACAACTGATGCTGTCACTCTGCCAATCCATCTTGCTAGGGGTCTTCCTCTTCTTCTCTGACCCTCCATCTTACCAAACATGGTATACTTCTTCAGAAACTGGTCCCTCCTGACAATATGTCCAAAGTATGAAATATGAAGTTTGGGAATCCTGGCCTGCAAGGAGCACTCTGGCTACACTTCTTCCAGTACAAATTTGTTGGTTCTTTTGGCAGCCCATGGCACTTTCAATATTCTCCTCCAATACCGTAGCTCAAAAGCATCAATTCTTCTACCGTCTTCCTTATTCACTGTTCAGCTTTCGCATGCATATAAGGTTATTGAAAATACCATAGCTTGGGTCAGGCGCACCTTAGTCCTCAAGCTTACATCTTTCCTCTTCAATACTTTAAAAAGGTCTTGTGCAGAAGATTTGCCTAATGCAAAATGTCATTTGATTTCTTGACTGCTGTTTCCATGAGTGTTGATAGTTGATCGAAGAAGAATGAAGTCCTTGATAACTTCAATCTTTTCTTCATTGATAAGAATGTTGTTTATTGGTCCAGTGGTGAGGATTTTTGTTTTCTTGACATTGAGATGTAATCTATACTGAAGACTGTGCTCTTTGATCTTCATCAGTAAATGTTTTAAGTCCGCTTCACTTTAAGCAAACAAGTTTGTATCATATTTTTATCACAGGTTGTTAATGAATCTTCCTCCAATTCTGATGCCACGTTTTTCTTCATGTAACCCAACTTCTCAGATTATTTGCTCAGCATACAGGTTGAATAAGTATGGTGAAAGAATACAACACTGTCGTACACCTTTCTTCATTTTAAACCATTCAGTGTTCCCATGTTCTGTTTGAGCAACTGCCTCCTTGGTCCAGGTACAGATTCCTCATGAGCACAATAAACTGTTCCAGAATACTCACACTTCACAATGTTGTCCATAGCTTGTCATGATCCACGTAATTGAAAGCCTTTATGTAGTCGATAAAGCACAGGTAAACATCTTTCTGATATTCTCTGCTTTCATCTAAGATCCATCGGACATCAACAATGATATTCCCCCGATAAAAGGACAAAGGATTTATGAGAGTCATTTAAACTATCCCAGGCTATAGTATAAATGCCATTTCCCTTTGCCTACCATTTGTACTCCTTCCCTAGCAGACTCTGTGGCTCCTATGAAGATTTGCAGTCTGGACAGGTGTCTGAAGCCCTTGTGGACTTCACTGGGGGGTGGGAGGAGCATGACATTGACCTGGCAACCTGTGGGACATCCTAACCCAAGGTACCTACAGCAGAACCCTCTGTTGGCTGCCAGACCCACTCAGGGGTAAGACTGGAAGAAAGTATTTGTCTCTTGTTCCCTTCATCTGCATCTACTACCTACTATTCTCTCATCTATGTGGGCAGCAGGTCCTCCACTAAAATGCTCACCTAGAGTAGCAAAGCTGAGTCCTTGGGTCAGGCAAGGCCACAGTGGAAGGCAGATGATTGTATGCAGAGGGAAACTAACAATTGTTAAATGTCAGCCATATCCAAGGCACTTTACTTGTGTAATTGAGCTACAGTCAAGAACAGGAGACTAGAGAAGGAAGTACTGGCTTCATCTATGCCTCTACTCTCAGCAATTCATGTGACCTCACACAATAACATGGCAGTTCTGCATTTGACTTTCGCCTTTGTAAATTGGATATGCTTGTGTGGCATACTGAGTTACTGAGAAATCTCAAATGAGACCAAAGAGCTTTGAAAATTGTAAGGAACACATCATGTTTCCCTCCCACATTTTTCCCCATTAACTCTTGTTCCTACCAAACAGATCTCCCACTTATTCTCCAGAATAAGTTACAAAGAGGACAGACCAAGGTCTCTCTTTTGTCTCTACAGGAAGAGAGAGTGCTGGAGAATGAGCTAGTGTATGGTCATGCCTATACACTCACAGGATCCAGAAAGTGGGTTGCACTAGGTCCCTCTGTTTCCCTCTTGGCATCAACCTCTCTCCCATGGTCCCCCATCAAGACCTTGGGTTATCTTGGACAATGGTAGTATTTGTGCCCAATTTGAGGAGTAAAGTCTTTGGAGAGTTCTTCAGAGCCTGCCAAAGCAGATGGTGACTTCCCCACACCTTTGTACCTATTTCTTGGGGTAGGGAGTTGGAACTATCACAACTTTTTCCCCATGGATCAGCCCCCAGTTAACTGACCACCTAGACATTCATTACCTTCCCCTGGGCTTTCAGTGACAGCCTCTGTGGCTGGTCTTCACTCCCAAATTCTTTTAATTCTTTACCACTTGATTCTTTTCAACAGTTTTTTATATTCACCTTGTGAGTTCTATAAGGCATTGAAGGGAATATGTGTAAGGTAGGGGCCACTGCCTACAAATGCTTACAGTCAAGTATGGAAACAAATCACATTAGAAAATGATGAGAAAGCAAAGTAGAAACTGAGAGGAAAAAGCATATATTATGGGATTTGGGAGAGCAGGGAGGCTCTGTCGAAGAAGCACTGGACTGAGAGCCACAGCCTCAGTGGCTAGAGTCTACCTGCCACTCTGTGGGGGAAAATGAGGCTTTCTGCTCCCGCAGCTTAGGAAACCCTATACAGGGTTGATATGAGACAGAACCAACTCGATGGCAACAACAACAAAGGGTTTTAGGATTCAGAGGTAAGAGAGAAGGCATCAACCTCGCTGCATTGAGGGAAATCAAGGAAGGCTTTATTGAAGAGTTGACATTTGAGTTGGCTCCTGAAAGGTGGCTAGATTCATGAAAGAGAAGAAGAGCATTCTTACTTGAGGGAGCAGCAAGAACAAAGGCAGAAATAAGAAATCCAAAGGTTTAATCTCAAAGAACTTCTGATGCCCTCTTGAGTACCTGACACTCCAAAATGTCTCCAATTCTCTTTAAATCTTCTTTTCATTTCTTGAATTCAACCTTTCTTAGATCTCCAGTGAGCATATTTGTTTGTCAAGAACTTTTTATTTGTTTTCATACTCATTGAGCAAAATTTATATAGCATTTATTATAGACTGAATAGTGTTATGTTGTTGTTGCTGTTAAGTGTCATGGAGTTTGTTCCGACTCATAATGACCCCTATATAGGGTTTCTGTGGAGCAACTGGTAGGTTTGACTCTGACCCTGCAGCTAGCATTCCTGTGCTTATCCTACAGCACCTCACTAGGACTCTTCTAACTGCTTTACAAATATCAGTTCACTTTATCCTTATAAAAGACTCATGAATAAGTATGGATATTGTTGTCGTTGTTAAGGGCCATAGAATTGGTTCCAACTCATAAAGACCCTGTATAGGACTTCCAAGGAACGGCTGGTGAATTTGAACTGATGACCTTGCAGAAGCCTCGTTTTATTGGCCAAGAAACTGAGGAACAGAGATGCTAAGTAACTAGCCCTAGCTATCCCAGCTAGTAAGTAGCAGAGTCACTTCTCCTTTATGAACTATTCCTCGGCCTTTGATCTTTGAACTTCCATTTCAGTTGCAGGCCTGAGTCTCACCCAGATATTTTTTAATATTTTCAGTTGGCACTTAACTAGTCATCAAAATGGGTTCTCATTTTGTACAGGTGACCTACAGATATTGACCCAAATATCTAGTCAAGCTGCAGAAGCCCTGGGGGAAGGTAGAATGGAAAGGAGACTGGAGTGACAGGTGAACCTCTGGGACTGACTGGGAAGATTAAGAATGAGTAGGTGTAAGCTGAAAGAGAGGCTGCCTTCTGAAGATAAATTAAAACATGTTCTTCCTTTGATCTTAGGCTGGAGCCGGAAGACTTTGACAGTGTGAAAGTTTACCCTCACTATTTATAAAATGCTTTTTAGTGTGTATACTGACTTATCATTCTTATTACGATAAAGCACTGGACTGTGAACCACAAGGTCTACAGTTCAAGGCTGCCAGCCATTCCACTGGAGAAAGATGAGGCTTTCTGGTCCTGTAAAGATTTAAAGTCTTAGAAACCCTATACAGAGTCTCTATGAGTCAGAACCCACTTGACAGCGCTTAACAATAACAACAGCAGTAATTAAAACCAGTAATTTTTTAGGGTTTTCCAGCACTGTGCTAAATTCTTTGAATTACTATTATTTCATTTAATCCTCCAAACAATGATATTATAAAGTAGGTGACTTCAAGCCCTATTGTATTGAAGAAATGATGCTTACATTAGATGAATTGCTTAAGGTCCTAATCAAACTTAGATCTTTGGCATTCTAGTCAAGTGCTTCCTGACACAGTTCAGTACATACATGCTTGGAATGAATGAGTCAAAGGTAGACAAATCTGGTTTGACCCCTACAATCAGGTGACTTTTAATAACCTTGGGGGTTTGCTGTTTTTGTTAAGAACCGTGGAGTCAGTTCCAACTCATAGCAACCCTGTATAGGATTTCCAAAGAACCTGCTGTTGGTTTTGAACCACTGACCTTGCAGTTAGCAGATTTTCTGATTGTTGTTGTTGTAAAGTGCAGTGGAGTCGATTCCGACCCATAGCTACCCTGTATAGGGTTTCTGAGGAGCAGCTGGTGAGCTTGAACCACCAACTTTCCAGTTCAAACAGCTTTGCAGTCTGACGTATTAACCCACAGTGCCACACCAGGACTCCATTTTCTAGTTAGATGATTGCATGATTACAGTTAGAGTATGTGTTTCTGCCTAAAGGAGTCCTGCTGTGGCACTGTATACGATAAGTACTAAATGGCTGACCGTAATGTCAGCAGTTCAAATTCACTAGCCGCTCCTCAGGAATCCTATAAATGGTCGCTGTGAGTTTGTGCTGACTCACAGCAACCCTGTATACGGTTTCTAAAGAGCAGCTGAACTGCCGACCTTGCTATTCAAATGACCGTAGAAGAATTGATGCCTTTGAGTTATGGTGTTGGAGGCGAATACTAAAAGTGCCATGGGCTGCCAAAAGAACCAATAGATCTGTTTTGGAAGAAGTGCAACCAGAATGCTCCTTAGAGGCCAAGATGGCCAAATTTCATCTCTCATACTTGGGCATATTGTCAGGAGGGGTCAGTCACTGGAGAAGGATATCATGTTGGTAAGATGGAGGGTCAGAAAAAAAGAGGAAGACCCCCAATGAGATGGATTGGCCAGGTGGCAGCATTGATGGACTCAAGTGTGGCGACATTGTTTCGTTCTGCTATGCACAAGGTCGCTATGAGTCAGTGCTGACTCAATGGCACCTAACAACAACAAGATTCACCCTAGAGTCCTGGTATGGTGCTGTGGGATAAAGCACTGGACTGCAAGGTCAGAACCAACTCAACAGCACTTAACAACAAAGATTCACCCTAAAGCATTTAAAAGGAAATGTAAGGATTCAAATAATCCTTAAACCACATGTCACCTGCAACCCTTTTATTCCCCATGAGAATGTCTCCTTCCTGTTTTCAGCTCAAATATATGGGAGCTGCTGTGTCCCAAAGTGAAGATTCTGCAGCAGAGGAAAGGTGAAGATGGAGAATTCTGTTACGTGACTTGAGGGTTCAGGACAAATATCCTGGTTTACATTTAAACATTGATCCAGCATTCAGTGGGTTCTTCTTGTATGCCAGACAACTGATGAAGTGAGATGAATTAGACACACTCTCTGGCCTCTAGGAGATCACAGTGTAGTAAGGGCAAGAGACCCATTAACAAAGAGCTGCTGTGAGGAGGGTAGCAATCACTGTTTTGGAGCTCATGGACACAAGTCCTCAGTTTATGAGTAGGGTTTGGGAAGACAGTCCGCACCTCCTTTATAACTTCCACTCTGCTCTCTTGCTCAGTACACTCAATCCCAAGATTTTGCCTCTCTTGTCTTAAAAAGGAGATGAAGGAAGAAGTGACTGAAAACTCTTACCCAACTTGAATCCTCATGACCTGCGATCCTCCCAAGCAGGGTAAAACCACCCTGATGCACCCAAAAACCACTCACCCCATTTTCTGGAAATGAAGACACCATGAGCTGATGATGTCTCTTGGTATCTGACGTGAGACCATCTGTTCCCCTTTACCTTTGCTTTTCATCATTTGCCCTTTTAAATATCCCACCTCACACAGATGAGCATTGACTGCTGCTCTTGAAACCATGACTCCTTGATCTCTGCTACTCATCCAGTTCAGACTGCTGTGACCTTCTCTCTTGGGAAGATCTTTCATTGAACACAAGAGCCTGCAGAGACTATTATTTTACTTTACAAATAAGAAAAGGGCTATAAAACAGTCTTAATAGCTTGCTTCAGCTCACACAGTTAGCACATAAGGGTCAGGGTTTTCCATTCACTATTGAAAATGGATCTGTGCAATTCGTGTAGAACATTTATAAATGAATTAACTAGTTAAGTTCCTCAATTCAGCTGTTATCTTAGGATCCACAAAACAAGAACATTTTCATCAAGGATGGAATTTCTCAGTAACCCCACCTTCCTCTGACTGACCCTCACTCTGGGCTAGCCCCACTCCCATATCTCCAAGGCTAGCTCAGTTGCAACAAAGCATGGAGGAGGAGGGCCTTGGTCTGGGTGAAGGCTGGGATGGCCCTTGCACGTTTTACTACTTCCTCTTGGTCCTGATGACTTGGTGGCATCTCATTTGCCTCTTGTGTTGACTTCTCTTCCCTCACACAGGATGATATTGCAGGACTTTAAAGCATATCTTGTGCTTCTGGTCATCTATAAACTGACTCCAAGCTTGTTGAATATGGAGGCTGGCCAGAGGTGGACATACACCATACAAGAGGGGAGATGGGTCAAGGGGAGCACAGCTGATGACAGGCTGAAGCCGTCCTGAGGTGAGTATGTGCACAGGAGCCAGAGCTTCTGGAGTCTAAACTGGCAGCTCTTCCAAACAAGGATGAGGTCCGAACAGACCCACCTCGTGGGGTTGTAGAGTTGGTAGCCTGCATCGGGCATCTGACTGATGGGTCAGTGGGCTCTGCTTGCTAAGCTGTATGCTCTGGCCCTGACCTGGGTCCACTAGGAAGATGGGCACTTTTCCCCCTAGTCTTCTCAGTCCACTTTGCTAACCTGTTGAGGCACATCTTTCCAGAGGAGCACTTCTTCCTAATCAGAACAAAGGGTCCTTTAGGACTAACAGAAGGAGGCATACATCCATATTAAAAAACAAAATCAAGCAGATTCTGACTCATAACAAGGCTATAGGACAAAGTAGAACTGTTCCTTAGGGTTTGTGAGGCTATAAATCTTCATAGGAACAGACATTTTCCTACTGCAGAGCTGCTTGTAAGTTTGAAATAAGACCTTGTGGTTTGCAGCCCAACACTTAACTTGTAGTACCTATCCAGGCTCTTCATGCACAGTAAAAGGGTAGATTAAATCTTTCTTGGTCTCCACGAGTCAGAATCGACTCAATAACAGGGGATTTGTTTTTTGGATTTTAGTTTAAAGCTCTTAATTTCTGAAGAAATTACCTTTAATGGCAAGATTGAAATAGTAATTATATTTATTAAGCCCTCCTTACATGGAGTTTGGTAGGGAAACAAGAAAGAACATAAGTTACAAGAGACAAACATGTCTAAATTCTCAAAATAGAGAGGTTTGTTGATTATGTCCCTTCCTCCACCATGGAGAGATGGAGTGACCACTTTGGAAGAAAAGACCTGTGGGATATATGACATCAGTGGGCCTGGGAGGTCTTAGCTGTGACTTTTCCCTCCCACCACAGCATCTCTCCCAAAAGCTGAAGCTGCTGCTAGAATGGAAAGTGACCATGAACACTGCCTCCTCAGTTAGCTAATGCTGTCACTCCTTCAGCAAACGTTTGTGGGTCATGCACTCCATGGCAAGTGGCATGCCTGCCATGGGCTATAAGGGTGAGTGTGTAGAACCAGAGGTGGAAAATGCAGTGTGAGAAGGGACAGAGTTGTGGGTGAGGTAGACAGCACTGAGACTGAGGAGACACCAATTCCATCCAAGTGGTCGCCATGCATGCTGGGGGAGGTACCCTGCCCTGGAACTGTCACCTCTTAGTGCTTTGGGGAGCTGGACTGAGAAGAGGCCCTAGACCAATGCTAAGGGACACTCACACACTGTGTTCTGTTCCAGACACATTTTGGAAGAACCCACAATTCCTGCTGTCTGTCTAGAAGCCCAAGTTGGGCAGGAAGCCCCTACATCCCTGCAGTGTGCTGGTACCTCTGCTCCAGAAGACCAGAAACAAGCACCGGAATCAGAAATGGCATCTTGTCATTGGATTCTACATCTTCACGGTAGGTGGGCTTTTGGGGCATGGCATGGGGTTTCCAAATCTCATCATTCTTCCTCCTTCCTGTCCTTTTTGCCATCCATCTCTGTCCACCAGCCTGGGTTCCAATCCAGAGTCTATCACTGATCTAGAACAAGAAACGTCCTTGAAGCACTTGAGTGTCAGTTCTCTTATCTGTGAAATGGGATCATAATATTTATACAAAGCGCAGAATAAAAGGATCGTGTGGGAGTTCTCATATAGGCCTTGGCTGGTACTTAATCAATGCTGGTTTCCTTTTCCTCTCCTAAGAAGCCAATGTCCCTCCCTCACTCTTGTCTTGAATTTCCCATGCTGGGTTAGGATGGCACTGCTCAGGGCAGCAGGCCTTGTGGGTGGAGTCTTACATCTCAGCTTCCATTAAGGCTGGGGTTTGTGAAAAAGTCACACTCCATGCTTAATGTGAGCTTTCTTTTCTTGTTTTTAAGGTGTATGAGGTGAGTTCTACCCTTGACCAGCTAGACCTGGTTTGGGGTGATGTCATGCATGGTCTGATTATAATGCTGCTCCCTGAGTGGCAGTGAGAAAATGCACCAGCTATTCTTTTTAATCCAAGCACCTCAAGAAATCCGTGTGTGTTTGTAGGGAGGTCTCTGAGCCTGGCACAAACGTTTCAGAATTTATTAAATCCATGCATAAATACCTAAGACTAATATTGAAGACTGCCACAGTATCAGAAGGATGATAAATTACAGTCTTGCCTGAGCTATGAAGCCATAAAACAGACTTATAGCATATGGAATGTCAAGTTACCTTGTATCCTACCTCCCTGGGGACAAGGGACAAGGGACAAAGGCTTGGGAAACAGAGACATAAATGCTGTCAGAGGGTCAGCAGCAGCTCTGTGTTTCCGCTACAGAAGCAACCAAGAGGGATTTGCTATGAAGGTATGAAGCATCTCAGAAGGGTGGCAGCTATTATTTTGTTTCCTAGAAATAACAGGAGTGAAAAACTGAATTTTCTCAGTGTGGATTGAATTGGAGAAAAGGATTTTATAAAGAAACCATTTTACATTGAGCCTTAGTTTTTGGGTGCCCCCCCCCCCGCTTCTGTGGGAACACTGAGTTCTCCTAATGCTTCTTAATTTAAAAAGAAAAAGTTATTTATATCATGCTTACTTCTAAATAGAATTTGGGTCAACCTACACTAAAAAGTGTAAATAGAACAAAACTATAAACCAGTTACAAAACTAAAAAGGCAAGAGAACACTCATAAATAGATGGAGGTTGCATAGGCAGTTGATTCTACCAGGAAAAATAAAGCTAGACAGCCAAAATTATATGACTGATTATAAAATTTAACTCTCAGAGTTCTTGCAAGCAGAGAAGCAACTGGATGATCCCCTAATTTTCATTGTCTGATGAAAGAAAGTATGCTTAATCAGGAGATGCATTTTGTTCCCTAATGCTGGATGGAATCTGCTAGGTATGTTTTTTTATGTAGCTGGGTTATGTCTTGGTTGGAGTTGTATATAAGCTGGAGAGAAGACCCCTATGTGGACCTTACCTCCCTTAACATCCTTGAGAATGAGCAAAGGGAAGAGGGAGTAAGAGAGATGGGAGGGACACAGGACAGAGAGAGAGAAAGGGGAGGTGAGGAGATGGGAGAGGCGAAGAGAGATGATAAAGGAAAGAAAAGAGGATGAGGAAAAATTGAGGGAGGAAGAAAAAAGAAGGAAGAGGAAAGAGAGAGGAAATAAAACACATGCTACATTCTGGGGACAATGTCAGAACCAGAGCTCTGATTCAGGTCTTCTGAGTCCCTGTTGGGCTTTCTTTCTCCTCTATGAAGCTGTTTGACTGAGATGATTACAATGTCTAGTTTGTCTGTGTGTAGCTGCCATGATGTATGTGGGGAGATATTTGGTGGTCCATCTATATCAGTGACCATAAATCATAATAACCTTGAACTTACATCACATACATGGAAGCAGTGCTGGGTAGCGTAAAGAACATGGGCATTGGGGCTCAGCTGTTCTCACTTGCAGTCCTGGCTGGGACTCTTACTTGCTGGTGACTTTGGGCAGATGACCTTACTTATTATTTGAGTTCAGAATTCTCAGCTGCATGATGGAAATTGTAGGCACAGTGACATGCCTCACATCATTTTACACAAGATTCTGTTTTTAATATAATGTCAAGTAAATTGACATGTGTTTATTCAGTCTTGATAGAATTCCAGCAGAGGTGCCCATCGGCACAAATTCTGTTTGTTTGTTTTTTCCCTCTCAACTCCTCATCCCTTGTTCCCATCCTCCACTGGGGCAGGTTGAATTAGGCTGGTCAGAGTCACCTTAGTCCTGGCTCCTGGCCAAAGGGCCAGATCTGGCCACAAGGCCAGGTGGTCACTTTAACTGGTTATCTTCTTTCTCCAGTCACAGTACTATGGTGACCTAAAGAAAATTCCCTCTGAATTCTTTTGGGAAAATGCTCCCCTGAGTCAATCTGTGACATTTCAAACAGAGAAAGAAGTAAGCCAAGAGTTGTGGCTAGACCCAGTAACATACCTCATCGTGCCCTGCACATTTGAGGCCAACCAGGAGGTGGAGTTCATCTTTAGGGTCTTCTCCAGAAAGCACAGCTTTTAGCAAGTGCGCAAAGCTTCTTGGGAGGTTGGGACCACTGGATCCAAGGGAGGCAAGGAGAGCATGGTTCAATATGGAAAGGACAAGGTCTCTGCCAACCAGGCAGAAGGGAGAGAGAGAGTAGGAGACCACAGTGGCTATCTACATGGAGACCCTCCCTTCTTTCTTTCATCTTACTCCCATTAACAAATAATTTGCTCTATTATGCTAGATGTTAGAAATAAAAAGGTAGAGTAGTCATGATTTAGAAACTCTGCCCTTCAGAACTCAAGGTCTGGGAAAGATACAGAAATAATAACAATTAATTTACATCATTGCATCATATATGCAAAGCATTGCAAGAGCAATTATCAAGGAGGGACATCTCAACCAATCTTTCGTAGTCCTGGAGAAAGCAGAGACAACTATAGGGAGAGGATAATTTGAGTGACATGCCTAGAGGTAGTTCAGTTGAGGGGAGGCCATCATTAATTGGCAGATGCCCCTGGTGTACACATCCCAGCCAAACGTGTTGGTTTTGTAATGCCCTGGTCATAGGTAGTTTGATGGATCTCAGTCCTCAGCTAATATTTCAGAATCATAAAATAGGTGTTGGAATGAGTGGGAAATAAATGATACACCAGGCAGAGGACCTGAGAAAAAAAACAATAGCACAGAGATGAGAAACAGCATGGGAAGTTACAAGCTGTGTGGTGTGCCATGTAGCTGGATTATCATTTCAAAGAGAAATGATAGGTGAGCTTTAAGAACTGGGTTGTTGTTGTTAAGTACCATCAATTCCAACTCATAGCAATCCCATATAGGGTTTCTGAGGTGGGTTTGAACTGCCAACCTTGTGGTTCACAGTCCAGAGTTGATCCTACAGTGCACACCAGGAGTCAATTAAATAATTTGGAAGATGAGTTCCCAGAGAAACTTAAAAAGTTCCTAAGATGATCCCAGAAGGAATCGCACTCTCTTTCCTTTTCCTTTCAGGGAAATTGGCAGCCATTCCAATGTTGTCTTCTCTCAGGTGAGTATTCACGTGGCTGGGGTAATTTTCAAAGCCAGGATGGTTTGCCTCTCCCATCACATGCTGGGGTGTTAATAAGGGAGGGGGAGGGAGTTAACAAGATCCTTAAAGACAAAACTCTATGGGAAACAAACCACATAATGTATTGTGCCCTAGGAGGATCTGGACAGACTTTCATCATTTTCTCTCTTCTCACTGTCTTGCTTGCCATTTTCACTGTCACTACTCCAAACTCCCACCACTCATCTGTCAGCAGGGTCACCCATAGTGGACAGGTTTCAGATGAGCTTCCAGACGAAGACAGACTAGGAAGAAAGAGTGACAAACTACTTCCAAATATTTAGTCACTGAAAACCTTTTGAATGGCAGAGGAACACTGTCAGATATAGTGCTGGAAAATGAGGCCCTCAGGTTGGAAGGCACTCAAAATGCAACTGAGGAAGAGCTGCCTCCTCAAAGTAGAATTGACTGTGATGACACGAATGGAATAAAGCCTGTGGGAGAAAAGCCCATGGGACCGTCATTTGCTGATGGGGCACAACTCAAAATGAAGAGAAATAGGTGTAAACATCAACTGAAATTTGGAACATGAAATGTACAAAGTATGCATCTGGGGAAATGGAAATTGTCAAAAATGAAATGGAACACAAAAAAATCGGTATCTTAGGCATTAGTGAGCTGAAATGGACTGGTATTGGCCATTTTGAATCTGACGACCACATGGATTACTATGCCAGAAATCACAAATTAAAGAAGGATGGTGTTACATTCATTATCAAAAAGAACATATCCAAGTCAGTCATGAGGTATAAAGCTGTCTGTGATAGGATAATATCCATGAGCCTACAGGGAAGCCCTGGAAATACCACTATTATTCAGATTTACACACCAACCACTAAAGCAAGTGAGGACGAAATAGAAGAATTATACCAATTTTTTCAATCTGAAATTGATCAAACATGCAATCAAGATGTACTGGTCATTACTGGTGATTGGAATGCAAAGGTTGGGAGCAAAGAGGAAGGATTAGTAGTTGGAAAATATAGCCTTGGTGATAGAAATGATACTAGAGAATGCATGATTGAATCCTGCAAAATCAATTTGTTCATTTCAAATATCTTCTTTAGACAGCAAAAGAGACAACTATACACATGGACCTCACCAGATGGAATACATAGAAATCAAACTGACTACATCTGCAGAAACAGATGATGGAAAAGCTCCATATCATCAGTGAAAATAAGACCAGGGCAGACTGTGGAACAGACCATCAATTACTCATATGAAAATTCAAACTGATACTGAAGAGAATGAAAACAAGTCCATGAGAGTCAAAATATGAACTTGAATATATCCCACATGAATTTAAAGATTATCTGAAGAACAGATTTGATACATTAAACACTAAAAACCGAAGACCAGAAGAGTTGTAGGATTACATCAAGAACATCATACATGAAGAAAGCAAAAAGTAATTAAGAAGAC